AAAGAGCGACACAAAAAAAAACAAATCTGCTATTTGAATAAGCAAAAACAGTTTTTTTCTGTTGCTCAAGTTGGTGCCGTTGTTAAGCACTGATGCACGTCTCCTCTGATTTGTCTGTTTCACACACATACAAAAGCTGCCCTTAAGTGGTACTGATTTATTCCAACAGTTAGTTATTGTTTTCAAAGCATTACAATGGTAAACAAAGTAAAAAGAAACATAAAAACTCAACTGACAAAGAAAAATAAAATCTGAAAAAGGTGTAAAAAGTCTGATGCATACAGAGTGTTACTGATCAAATGAGATTTCTGTTGATGGCATAAAAACTACTACAGAAACGTCCCTACACAAGTCATGCAGGCCTGCAGTCAACTGTATCTTACATAATTATGGATGCAGCTTTTCACTGACCGTGTGACAGCTGTTCTGATCTGTGCCAGTTTGTGGGAAAAAGATGCTTCTTCCAACATTTTTTTCGGGTCAAAACAAACCCACACAAACTGTTGCTTCCTCTATCCATCCAGTAACTTGAGGATGCTCTCCCTTTCCTTCAGTGCTTTCCAAGCCTGATCTTTCTCCTTTTTAGTTGGAGTGCGTTTCTTCTGTCTGGCTGCCATGATTCGCCGAAATCCTTCCATCACCTCATTATCAGACACCCTGACTCTCTGCCTTAATTCCTGCTTGCGCATCTCTTCTTTCGCCAGCCTGTGAGAGAACGACAAATAAAAAGTTTCACATTATCAGCCTGTCAGTGAGCTTTAATAAATATGCATTTAATTGTTGTGGTAAATGGAACCACCGTCAGTCTGTGTCCTTACCGGAGCAGCTCCTGCTTTCTGGCTCTGTTGTGAGCAGTCAAGGCTTTGAGTTCCGCTTGTCTCTTCTGCAGCTCTGCAAGAACCTCATCCTCAGAGTCTCCTCCTTGTCCAGGTCGCTCCTCAGAATCCAGCAGCCCCTGAGCTACCAGCTCCTCTTTGATTCGTGCTTCCAAAGAACGAGTATGAGGAACACTGGAGAGGTGAAAGAAAGACAGGAAATTAGATATTTGGATGCACAAATAGAGGTATAAATTAGCCAAACTCACAACTAAATTACAGTCAAAGTGCGTGTGTGTGGAAGGCAACAGAGCCACAGATTCTAAATATTTCAGGATCAAAACCAACATGTACCAGCCTAATATCAAGGAAAGTATGTCAAATTTTCAAATGTCACCATCTTAAATTTTACTACCATTTCATCCATCGAAATGTGAGAAACTGAAATAAACAAGCATGTCAGCATGTGCATAAATAGTCTTGCATCCAAGCACAAATAGCTGTGATGGAGCTCAGGACTCAACCTGAGGACGGCTGCTATGTAACAAACGATTTACATGGAATAATTAAAAGTTATTGCTGGTGTTTTAGGTGCGTAAATGTGGTCTGGAGACCCTTATGTGAATCTTGCTGCTGTCTGATGCCTCAGGTATTTAAAAAAACTCATAAAAAGGAAAGACTTCTCAAACAGCTGGAACTGACAAACTAAACTTCAGCTCCTGTTAATGTCTGATCAAAATCTTTTTTTTTTTTTTTTTTTTTTTTTACGATTAGTGAGTCTCATTGATCTGTTCAGATTAATGAGCTTGATGAAGATACTGTAGGGCAACGTGAACGAGAGAGTTTTGTGATTTATTCAGACAAAATCAATTTGTGCTCTCCGCGATGTTTATGACTCAGTATTGGTGCCTATCCATTAACGTGACTGCATGCAGTTTGGACTTGTGAAGTGTTGACAGCGATATGTTACTAGATCTGACCTAGTACGATTGTCATTGTGACTTTTGCAGAAAAGTAATCAAGGTGCTCATTCAGACATAAAGCCAGAACACTCAGATGCCATCAGACTGACAGAAAAGAGTGCATGTCTGAAAGAGGCTACATGTGTAAATAGATCCATGTTAACTGCATTTATGTACGCTTTGGGGAATCATAGCTCCAGACTTGGGTGTTATAAATGACAGTGACAGGGGACTGACCCATGAAAGCAGCCTAGTTTTCATCAACCAAACACAGCTTGAGCATGTGTTTGTTATTATTCTATGTCAGATATTGGGGTCTGTGTAGGAGAGGAGTTTGTGTTGGTGACCTTAAGCGGATAAACTGATGCTGGTGCTTTTGATATGTCATAGATTTATTTCACGTTGCAAATACCGCACCTAAAAGCTTTTCCTTGACTTCGAGGAGAAGTCCCAGCACCGTCATTCGCATCCTTCCCTGAAATGTCTGGAATAGGAGAATCCTCCATGGGGGATATAATGTTCTCCTGGAAGAAAACAAATATTACCAAGTTAGCCACATGTTTCAGGGTTTACACAACACAATATATACACGAACATTTGTGATGTCTTCTTTTATTCATTTGTATTTTCAAAAGCCATTACATTTTGGGACATTTCTCATAGTAGCAGCTGGATCAAAAGATATAAAGTCTGACCTCTACAAGAGCCTGCAGCAGACGCTGTGTGAGAGGACCAAAGGGACAGCCATCCTCTGGAGATTCATGCTGGGATTCTGACTTTTTCAGCAGCGAGTCCACATCTACAGTAGTTTAACATGAAGATGCATATTAAGGTTGATACATCTCTCTGCAACTACAGTCTGCTATGGTGGGACCGAGTGCAAACTAGTTCAAGTACAGTCATTTTAGGTCTTCTCACACCTTTTGCATCCAGTTCCGACAGCGGCCCTCCCATGAGGTTCTTCTTCTTGTCGTTGGCTCGTGCTCCTTCCCTCTGCTCCTCCAGCAGATCCTCTTGAGCCCACCGCTGAGAGTAGTGTTTCCCCAATGCTGGAATCTACAGTTAACACAATGAGCATCCATAGCTCAATGTACTTTTAGATAGTACATTTTACTTAACACTACTAAGATGGGAAAATGTAGTTGGTGCATGGTATTAAGTTATTTGCAAAACAGCAACAGGTGCAAGACTTTTTGTGACATACTTTGAAATACTCTGCTTCATCCTCAGGAGGTTTCAGAAGCTCCTCTAACAATCGGATCTCCTCATTTGTGATATCAGCACAATATGGCTCAACTGACGCCCAGAATCTGAAAACCAAAAATGTTGTCATATATCAGTAAAAACACTTGAAGGAAGTTGATTGAGTATGGCTTTTATTTTTTTACTTTAGCACACAGTTGGGGAAAAAAAACACAATTCATTTCAGTAAAAAAAAAAAAACGAAACATAACTGTTAAAAGGCAAATATACCTGAACTGATGACTAATTGCTACTGACCTGTTGGGAGCGTCATTTTTAGGAGTACGTGGAATGTCTTGTGGATCATCTGTAAATTCATACTCTTGAACTTTTGGCTGCAGGTTTTTGGATTTGGGTCTACCGGGACCTGGTCCTGGTCCGTGACCTCCTTTGCCATCCAATTTCTGCTTCTTTGGTTTGTGGCGAGACGTGGCTGCGGGGTCTGGGTCTTTTCCCGGTTTCAGAAAGCGCTTATCTCCCTTCTTGTCCTGCCAGTCTGTGAGGATCTGAGATGGTCCACAGAAAACAGAAGCAGTGTAAACAGCGGCGTTTTGGAAATACTTGTCTTCTTTTAGAAATCACAGTTACATACAAGTGAGTTGTGATGAAAACCTGATGACACACAAGTTAAATCCTACCTGTCTCTGTTCCTCCAGGGCCCGGAGGCGGCGGCTGGCTGAGGACAGCAGGGTCTCCAGCTCCAGCTGCAGGGTATCCAGCTCTTCGATGCCGATGCCATCGTCCTCTGAGCGGCCCAGCACAGCAGTGTAGCGGGGACATACCTTGACGTGTTCAACGGGTTTGAAGTCATAATATTTCAGTGGGGGACAGTCCTTCAGCTCACTCATGATGCTGTGCAGCAGGGACCTGGCAGTGTCTGATTAAACTGACACAAGAACATGGACAGTGTGGTTAATTGATTTATTTCAAACTCTACGAGCTTCAGTAAAAAGTAACTGGACTTCTCTTTTTTGGGGGGTCTTGAAGCAATTTCTTCTCTCATTCAAAAGATTTGATGCTTCTTTAAAGCTCTTGGATGTGAGGTGAAACGTATACAAAAAACAAACAGAGAAGTCCGGTTGCTTTTTATGGAAGCTCTGAGGGTTACAATGACCTAAAATACTGAGAATCTTCACAGACAATATTAAACTCACACACAGTGGAGTCGTGCTCTGTTTTTCTACCCATGTCTGAATACAAATACAAGCACCCAAACAAACGGCTGCTTCAATCGATCAGCAGCCCGCTGGGCCCAAACTGCCTCAAGTTACTCTTAAATTCAAACAGTGGTCGCTTGTGCTTTCACGATTTGAACACAGAGGTTTAGCATGACTGCGTTTGAAAATCACAAGAGCTTAAATGTACAAATGCAGAGCACAGATGTAAATATTTGAATGTTTAAGAGGTACGATGATTACCGTCAGTGAATGGCGTCCATGTTGGAAACAACCATTGTGGTAACACAAGTGTCCGAAACAAATTCAAACGATATTATGACATATTATAGACGAAATAACACATTTAAGACAAAAATGTAAAATAAGATAACATTACAAAATTTAACAGAACACTTTAACTCGTAGCAGCTAGCAAAACAATCATGAAGAGTTGTAAATACATGGACCTAATGCTACAATGGTATCATCGGAACAAACCATTTTGTGTCTAGGTGCGTTAAAACAAATAATATGCAACAAACCTTGTATTTGAAGGGTCGAACTGGCACACATGTGTAATGACGTTTTTTGTTGTTGTTGTTGTTTTTAAAAAACACATATTACTTAAAACGTGTTACGATAGACTAAAACAGCTCATAATCCAACCTTGGCTGAATAAAATGTCTCCTATTCACACAACAGAATGGACGCACCGTAGGGTATGCTCGTTTTACTTTTATAATACTCCACCCGGGCGGAGTAGTAAAGGCAAACGACGAAGTTACAGCGACTGAGGCCTCATCGGGCGGAGAGTTAACTTAGAACAAACGCACCGTAGCTTTACTTGACTATGTAGGATTTACGGAAGAGTCGTTCCAGGCGTGGCTCAGGAACTTCCGTCTTTTACAGCGCAAAAATGGTAAGTCTCCTGCTCTAAATGTATCGTTTTATTTTATAATTTAGCCACTTATCCCTACTAGCTATGTCTACATTCAAGGCGAGTTTAGCTAGCTAGCTTCCTGTTGCTCGTAGACGGAGTTTGTGGTTGGCTGCAGTGAAATGAGAGGACGGGCATCCTTGATACGGTTTGCAGAAACTAGAGTGACTGAGCTGAGCTGTCTTTTCCTCTCGGCCCCTTTTTTCCCCCCTTCGTTACTGTGCCTGTTAGCTCTCTCATAGCTTTTGACATTAGACGGTGGAAGAGCAGCGTATATCTTGTGGAAAAGGCTAGATTGGCTGAGCTGCAATGTCGGGTACCTGAAAGCATCACATCTGCTAATGCAAGCAAAAATCATTCACTTCTAAAGGAAATCTACGTATAACTTAATTGCATTTGTTTGATACTGATATTGATCTTCCTAAAATGACTGGTAGTGGATTTTTTTAAAAGTATGAATGTAAGTAGGATATTCAGCCACTGCATCCCTGCACACAGTTTATGTTGGACACTGATCAAACCTGAGCTCATAGACTGACCCTGCTGGCTGATTCACCCACACTAGACTGGGAGGTTCACTTTGCATGTACTCTGACCTAAATAACAAATAGTGTCATCCTGTAAAATATTCCCTGCACAGTGTTCCACCCAGGCATTGATTTTATTCTCTCTCTCTCCCCAGACAGCGACTCTGCGCCCCTACTTAAACGCTGTGAGGGCCACTCTGCAGGCAGCCCTCTGTCTGGAGAACTTCTCCTCTCAGGTGGTGGAGCGTCACAACAAGCCAGAGGTGGAGGTCAGGTATGTTCAGCAGCATGGTATTCTCACTATTTGGCTTCCTCTGCTTTTCTTCTTCATGTTTCTCCTGCCCTTAGGGTCTATTTAGATAATCTGCTGCTGTCATGCAAGTTTGGACTTGTGCAAACGTAGAAAATCTAAGAGGGAAGAAAAATGACAGCATGCATGGGCAGGGCTGTAAAATAGTTCGGCAGGGGCTTGTCGCGGCCTGTTTGCAGGTGTCTTCCCAATGCAACCAAGAGGGGAGGAATCACTACAACTTCGAGGGGTCTGTGTTGTAGTGACTCGAGCGCAGCAATGACGAGTTGAAAATTGAGAAGGCCTGTTTTTGTTGTCGTCACAGGAGCAGTAAGGAGCTTCTACTTCAGCCTGTGGTGATCAGCCGCAATGACAAGGAGAAGGTTCTCATTGAGGGATCCATCAACTCTGTCAGAGTCAGCATTGCTGTCAAGCAGGTAATTAAAACCAGCAGGATTTTGACTTTTTTTTTTCTGTTACGAGCGGTTTGTCATTTTTTTTCGCAGTCTAATGTGCTGTTAAATTTTTTTCGATTGTAGGCTGATGAGATCGAGAAGATCCTTTGCCACAAGTTCATGCGCTTCATGATGATGAGAGCGGAGAACTTCTTCATTCTGAGGAGGAAACCAGTAGAGGTAAAGGATGGAGCAGGGGAGGGTTAATCTGGGTTGTATGCAGGATAATTAAAGCAGTGTGTGACAGAAGAGGAATTAATATACAGTGTCAATGTGATGGGAAGATGTGAAATGAGGAACTGTGTAAACGGCTGACGTCAAAAGGCTCTCCATGCACAGATGTTGTACAAACCGCACACAGACATCTAATACATCAGTAATTACAACATACATTTTCATTGAATACAGTTTGTGATGTTTATTTTTTTTTTTAGCTCTGACTCATTTTTTTCCTCATTTCCTCTTTTCTGATTTTAGGGATATGATATTAGCTTCTTGATTACCAACTTCCACACGGAGCAGATGTACAAACACAAGCTGGTGGACTTTGTCATCCACTTCATGGAGGAGATCGACAAGGAGATCAGCGAGATGAAACTGTCCGTTAACGCCAGGGCCCGTATTGTTGCTGAAGAATTCCTCAAGAACGTAAGCGACTTCTTTTTCTGCCCCCAAGGCCTAGAATCTTTATCTTGTTTGTGTTTTTTTATAAATGCATTTAAATGTCAGACTCACCGCTGTAATTTAATTGTGTGCTCACATTGTGTGAATAAACAGAAAGATAGAATATAAGAGGATGTTATCTTCTCCACAGTTCTGATGACAGTGTTGTCCTCGGTCCAGTACAAGCCTGGGAACACTCAAAAGAGCCAATCGGCACGAGAGAGGAGAACTAAAGGAGTAAACAGCCAATCAGCGAGGAGATGAGAGGAACGTGACCAATCTGGCAATGACAGCCTTTGCACCCGTCTGGAGTATTTCCCTGTACTCATGAATATCGATTACTGTATATAATGAAATATTTACCAGTTTCATTTTCAGCCACTTAGAACAAATCCCCAAACAAAGGCGGGTCCTTAAAAGTATTAATCAAGTTGATAGCCATGATTACAGGGGCATTAAGGACGTGTTGTTGCAAGTGAAACAACCAGGTTTTTGTATTTTGTGTATGTGAGTCTGTATGTTCTGTCACTGCTGTTTCAAATTCGTCTCCAAAAATTTCTCTGTTCAGGACATACATGTTTGAGGAAATAGTCTGTGTGGCATTAAATCACATGGAGATGTCTGTAAAAAGAAAAAACAAAAAACGGCTACAATAACCCCACAGTGAAAGATAATAAAAGTCAGTTGTTTGTACCTTTCGGTGTTCATATTTGAAAACTGTCATTCATGGTTTGTGCTGCTGCGCCCATAAATGGATCAGATCTGTTTCGAGGAAGTTGTTTTTAGTTAGCGCTTTGGCCACATTTCATCGTGTGCGCAGTCGCTGTGTTATTTCAGCTGGGGGGAAGGGGAAGTGTTGCAGACAGAGCGTGTTTTTGGAGTCAGCATTAGTTGCCATTTACATATTTTTGATCCAAATTCTTTACCTTCAAAGAGAAGAAAATGTATGTTTCTATAGATTTATATGATGTTTAATTTATTTCAGAAGCATTATTGGCGGCATCACACGTAAACTTGCTTCACAAAGCTTGAGGCTCCTGGAGGTAAATGGTCTTGCTCGGTTGAGCTGCAGACGAATTACTTATTCATGTTGGCTGACAAGTTAGCAACAGCGAGATTAAGTGCAACCATCTGATCTGACCAGTCCATCAAAGTCATGGTTGTGCCACTGCATCCCATCAGCATCATCCACAGTTCTCCATAAAATAGTAAAATTAGAGCAATTAGTGGTTTAATTTAATAGTTTTTAAATAAAAATGCCAAACATTCTCCAGTTTAGCTCCTGATATGTGAACGTTTGCTGCTTTATTGAATCTTCTTGGACAAGTTTTTACTCGGATAAAGCAAGATTTATCATTATGTCAATGCCATTTTTAGTGTTTTTGGCATTTTAAACCAAACAATTTATCAGTTTCTTTAGAAAACTTATGGCACATTAATCAACTGATCCTTATTTGCGACTTTGATAAATACTTAAACCCATTTCACAGGTAATGCAACCACATAATTCAACAAAAAGTCCCAAAAAAAATAGATCATATATGGAGACTGGTTGGTTTAGAAAAATAGCATCTTTATTATAGTGGAGCTGGGATGTAGATTTTAAAGTCATGACCCACATCAACACCAACAACTGAGCAAATGTTGCCTTTTTTCAATGCTCAGATGTGTTCTTCACAAAAAGCTTGATCTAATTTCCTTAAAGATATGTGTTTATAGATTTCTTTCATTTCAGACAATCCAGTAAATATACTGTGCGGCACATAGCTAAAGAAAGTTATTATTATCACCCAGTCGTATAAAATTGAAGTGACTATTCGTACACTGTAGAAAACCTTCGTAATAGCGACCCGGTCCGTTCACTCGTTCACTGAACACACTTAAAATAGTACTGAGAAGGTTTGTAACCCAGAAATTGCACATTTTCACTGAAGACGCCTTCACATGAAACAATGATTGCACGATACAGTAACATGGAGCACAGAATCACATGATCGGATGAATGATCAACACTTCCAAACATACTACAGCAACCTTCAGTGTCAAGCCTACAATATCAACACACTGAAACCACACTGGAGATAGCGACAAACATACAGGAATCTGCTGTGAGTGAGTGTGTCTGTGAGGAGCAGCTATGCCGAGTACCACACCGTGTAGCATTTAGATAAAAACACTGGAGCCCAGACGATGTTCTGGTACAGCCCCTTTAAAATCCCTTAGAAAAGACAGATCACACAGGAAGGGGGTGTTTGTGTGGCAGCAGCAGAGGAGGAGGAGGAGGAGGAGGAGGCACATGGTCACCAGTGAGAGCAGGCAGTGCAGATCTGGAAGGTGAGAGAGTCCGTCACAAGAGGGAGAGAGAAGGAGGTCCAACTTCACTGGGTCCCAGCAGAGGTATCAGAAGTGAGGAGGGACGGTCTGCAGGGCGTCCTTGGTTGTACGATGGATGTTCACATTCTGGAAGGAGGAAGGCAGCAAGTGTCAGACGTCTGGTGCAAACATACATGTATATTCACATTTATAGCAAGTCAAGAACACAAAGAGGCTTTACAACCAAACATTAAAAACCTCACAGCGATCACTGGTTCTTCCTGTCAGCGTTCCATCATGTGTTCATCTTTTTGCCTGAGGACAGCCACATCATCTAGACCCAGTGTGACTAGATTGTGCCAAATGACCGGCCTCTGGTCACTAAAAAGCACGTGTGAAACTTTTTATGTGCCACCAGATGTTGCTAAACAGCAGTCAGTCTATTCCGATCCACCTTTATAGCAGCGTATGTGATCAACGGCTGCTTCCATCATGGATGTAACACAAAGCCTTTGTAACTTTCTTTTGTGCATTTTTGAAAATGTCATTTTTATTTCCAACAACATTTACACTTTAAAACACAGCGGCAGTTTTATAACAAGCGTTCACTCTGTAATTACTTTCACTCGGAGCAGACAGAAATCTGTGCATGGGACAGTGAGTGTTTTGTTCAGGCTGATGAATGGCAGCAGTTTTGCTATTCACCCCAGGGGAGTCTTTGCATATGAATGAACGGGAGAAACCTCGGAGTCTTCAGTTTGCACGGCAGAGAAAAGCGGCGACGGCACTGCACCGAACATTTGATCTGCAGAAAGTGAGGCTGTAAAGGGAATCTCCGAGTAGCATCGGTAATAAATAGATCGCCTCTTTTATGTTTTCCCCGACTTCCTGTTGTTAAGCAGTAAAGCAGCTTTCATGCGAAGCTTTTGGAAATGAAGCACAAAAAGAGCGTAAGCAAGGATACATGAAATGGTTGAGTGGAGTTTATTCAGAAACATGAAACAGAAATACCTTCCACTTAATTGTTATTAGTGCTATGAATATACTTCACATAGTTGAACACAAAACAACAACGTATTTTTTGTATTTCCAGGATCTTCATTAGACAGTGTTAGACATCCTAAAAGTCTTCTTATGAAATTAAAGAGTTGATTTTCATGTGCAAAATACAGAAAACGAACAACTTGGTTCTCTCTCAGCAAAACTGAGATCAGAGTTTCCTGACTTGTACCAACAAAAATATGAAGTGATGAGACACTTGTTAAAGTTAAATCAGCTTAACAGACATAATCATTGAGAAAATAAACTAACACGCAATCAGTGTCTCTACAGAAAAAAAGGTGTTGGAGTTTCATGATTTCACAGTTGGGATCACAGCATCATTTAAAAAAAAAGAAAACACAACTTCATCTGCTTTTCATTCATTCTCCCAAAAATAGGAGATCGTGCACGACTTAAGATCCGTGACAGGATTAATAATCGAAAATTAGAAACTGGATTCCAGTCAATTATCACCATCATCACGTCTCAAAATGTAAGTGAAGAGAAAATAACATGAAAGAACAGTGGAGAGAGATTCAATCATAGAATTTGAAAAGTATATTGTGCGTCTGAAGGGTTGAGTGTGCATAATGAAGGGTGAATGTGTGAGGGTGTTGGGGGAGTCGGGGGGAGGGGGGGGGGGGTACTGCCTCATTGGTGAGCTGGCACTGTTAGCAAAGCCTCCTCTGACATCCGCGACACGTCTACGTTCTGTTCGATAAAAAAAAAAACAGACAAAGAGGAGGAGGGATCAAAACACAGGGGAGACATGAAATCCAGTGCGCACACACGAGCTGAAAGACCTGGAAAAGTAGATCACGTTAGGTTCTTCAGTTTGTTTTACACATGGTGGAGGGTTTTCAGAAGTGTCCTTATCAGATGTGTGCTAGATGCAGAGCAGAAATGAAACCATGCATGCATTGTTTTTAAGCTCATCATTCAAATGATTTATCAGCTAAAAACACAACAAAAATAAGATCCCACGGTTAGGTTTTACTGGTAATAGACAAGCTTCTAAAAACCTATTTTCTGAGCCTTTCATATCACATTAACCCTCTGAATCAAATAACCTGCCAGTGAGATAAAAGCACAAAAAAAGAGAAACGCTTAGCAGTGCTAGAAACTCTAAAAATCGTTTCAGCTTTCCGATGGTCCTTGAACTAATCACGTGGGATGTGCCGTTTTGTCAGAAAACTTCACCAAGTCTCAACATAAAATCGTGATATTTCATCAAAATGTCTTATTATACGCAAAAAATCTCCAAAAATAAAGCATTTGCTCGAACCACAACCTTAAAAATAGCAAAAAAAATCACCCAGCACAACCATGACCCAAATAGTGACTCAGTTAGAAGACACGTGACAAAAATTGAGAGAACTTTACGCTGAACTGCAGCTGTGTTTACACTGAGCAGATAGATGGAAGTATCTGTAGCATGGAGAGTCACAAAGTGTTTCTAGTTTGTGTAAAACCAGTGAACACTTGGAAAAATGTGCTGATTTCTAATCAACCTGTTGTTTTTCTTTTCTTTCTTTCTTTTTTTTTTTTAAATTTATGGCATTACAACTTTGTCATTGACCTGTCCAGGGTGTCCCCTGCCTTCGCCCTAAGTCGGCTGGGATAGACTCCAACCCCCCGCGACCCTAGTGAGGATTAAGTGGTGTATTAATAACGGATGAATGGATGGGACAACTTTGCCATACTTCACAAAAGACATGTTTGAGTTCTCTCTGCTTCTCGTCATGGTCGTGCTGTTTCCATAGAGGTGCAGGACTTTACATTGCAGTGAAAAACGAGTCCACAGTGAGGAAAAATGTGACGGAAGCAAAAAAAAAAAAAAAACACCCAGAAACTGCCTGGGGTTCAGAGGGCTTAAAGAACAGGAACATAGTCCACTCTGCAGCGTATTTACCTAAAGGGTGTGTGAGTAAAAAGCTGTAAGAGCATTAGCCATTGTTTCTGTTAACCTATAATCCACACATAATCTGGCACGAAAACCTGCTCTGCACTCAATATGAAAACATGGCGGAGTGTAGAAAAAAAAATCTGCATTATCCTTGCATGCTGAAGTGGAAAAAAAATCCCAACACCGTGATGTTCAGCACCTGAAGCGATCAGACTGGCCTCTTTGTGAGCCATCTTACCTTGCAAAAAGTGGGTCAATTGTTGTTGTGTGTCTCTTACTGTATGTGTGCTGTGCGTAGTGCTATACCTACCTCTGGTCTTTCTCTGTGTGTGTTGACTGCGTCCACGTTTAGGCTGATGGACTCCACTTTACAACCTAAGAAAGTGTGCAGACAGAAGGTTTGATTTTATTAGTTCAGATGGCAAAACAGGTTTGTTATGTTTCACAACACACAGATGTATTTTGCGCATTACAAGTTCATAGGAGAGCAGTCGTACCGTAGGCCACCGGCGTTAGCTTCAGCACAGTGTGCAGCGGGCACTTCAGATACGGCAGCTCCTCTGTGTGGACAGATAATCAGTTCATGAAACCACCAGACAAGCAGGAAACATCACATTCTAGAAAGAATTTCTGGAAGATCTCTATAGTCGGTGTCACTTTTCAGAGCAAAGCCGAGCACCCACATACATGCAATATGTAAAGCTCAATATGTAGGCTACACTGTATAGCGTCGTATGTTGCAAAAACAGAAATATGTGAAGTAAAAAATAAATCTGACTAGTTTTCAGTATAGTCTTACAGTCTCCATTTATGAAGACTGGCAGCTCTGACTTATTTTATTTATTTTTTGGGTTTTTGCCTTCATTTAGAGCAGTAGAGAGAGACAGGAAAGGGTGGAGAAGAATGGGAAGAGACCTGCAGCAAAGGGTCATGAGCAGGAGTCGAACTCACGACCACTGCGTCGGGGAACGATAGCCCCTATTCATGGGGTCACCCGCTCAACTAGGTGAGCTACAGGGACGCCCCAGGTCTGACTTATTTAAATGATGTTTACTCAGAGTCGACTCAAACCAACTGACACCGTGTTGAAGAAGTCGTATGTGTGGCTGCATTTTGCTAGAACAGGCAGACAACGTTCATAGCTGAACAACCAACTTGGCATATCACCTAAAGACAGCAGGCTAACTTATCTGCATTGATATACTTAATAGTTCTTGTGCTGTGAGTAGTTTTATTTTAATTACCTAAACATGGGCAGGTGGATGCTGGTCAGCTCCTAGTCTGTAGTTATTGTTTCAGTACAAAATAACCAGTTTAAAATGTTTTTATATGCTGCAAATAGTGCCAGCAGGCAGAGTGCACTTGGTGCGTTGTGGCAAATTTGATCTAGAATTTTTTTTGCAACCACCAGCCGACTAGTTGCAGGGCAGGTACAATCGACGAAGGTTTCCTCTGACTACACTCCTTCTATTTTTGCATCAGTGCTCCGGTCTGCAATGTATAAATTGGGTCAGTCAGCCAGGAGTGAAACACACATCTCCATCTCGGCTCTATGAACGTCTGTCACAGCTTTATATGTAACACATCAGGGCATAAAACATTTTCTTTTGTTCAAACCAAGGAGTGAACACTTCATTACATGTGCATGCACTAAACTGCCCTACACCCGGCCCTGAAAAAGGACGTGACGTCATGTTTCTGAAGTAGACAATGCATGAACACTGACTGGAATGATTGAACTGAACAAAGGTAAACTGCCCTATGAAACTGCTGAAGTAGTTTGTGATGGCACTAAAACTTATACTTCTGACTTCCAATATAACTCAGACAGTTGCTTTCTCTTCTGCTTTGTGAACTGGTGCAACCTCAACCACGCTCAGCGTAACATTTCCAAGACCAAGGAAAAACTAGTGGACTTTAGGAGGAAGAGGCCCAAACTGGATCCAGTCACCATTCAGGGCACAGAGGTGGAAGTTGTCTCCAGCTACAGATACCTGGGAGTACAGCTGGACAACGAGCTGGACTGGTCCAGCTACTTGGAGGCAGCGTACAAGAAGGAACAGAGCAGACTGTACTTTTTAAGAATGCTGAGATCATTCAACATCTGCAAGCCTCTTTAGTGCTCCTTATACCAGACTGTGATGGCTGGTGTACTTTTCTTTGGTGTGGTGTGCTGGGTGTGAGTGGAACAGACTCAATAAACTGATTCAGAGGGCGAGCTCCATCATTGGGGTTGAACTGGACACATCAGCGACATTCCCCACAGGCTTTCTGAGGTTCATCTAAAAGACTGACCTGCTGTCTTGTCCAGAAAGTAGGCCAAGAGGCAGCGCATGACAGCCTGGTGACAGATGACCAGCACGTTCTCCTGCCTCTCCAGCTCCATGATGACCGGCTCCAACCGCTGCACCAGGTCCTCGTAGGACTGACAACAAGAAGAAAAAGGAAAATCAGACTAATGGAAAGCAGAACAACAGGAAAAAGTAAACCTGGAAATTAAAACTTCTACTAAATCAATTTTCTTCACACATGCTGCTCAGAAAGAACTCAGTTAAACCAGCGAACATTATAGCGAGTGGAAAAATTCACACTCGACAAACCCTGGCTTTAACAATACGCCCTAAAGTGCTGCATCAGCACTGTCCAAATGGGCAGCTAACTAATGCCCATATCCATCTTCCTGTGTGAGATTAATGGAGAGGTAATGAGATGGACTAAAGGTGAGAACAGACCAGCGGGCATTCAGGCCCACAGTAAATAACCTGACCCCACATTTTTGGCGCACACACCGTCAGGGACACTCACAGACTAATGTGAAGTCTTTGTTTACTGCAATCTAGTGTTTAGCCAAATCTGTCTGAGAAGCTGCTTTCCCAAGCTGAGGCTCATTAGCAGAGTGTAAGTGGCCAGTAGCCATCTGGATGTAGTCTAATAGTGTGTTTGTGCGTGTTTGGAATGAGAGAAAGAGAGCGTGTTAATATGTTTACAAAAGAGAATCAAATCTGCATTAGCAAATTTCCAAATTCAGAGACACGCTGCCCAAAAGCAGTTTACTTTAAAGCTGACAAACAGCAAAGCACTTTACTACTATCTCACCTGACAAAACCGACGTTAAAATTTAGCTACTGACCTCTCCCTTGGGGTAGCGATAGCGATACTTGTCCTGGTCCCTTAGGGCAAACTCCAGAGGGTAGTGGCCCTGGATCTCCTCATACATCATCTCCTCACACACACCCTAAAATTATATCACACACACACACAGGTTAAACGTTATAAACATTGCACAAAGAGGCAGTAAATAGTGCTTGGAAGCAAAGAGAGCTCCACTTACAGCATCGATCTCGTTCAGGACCTTCCACTGCTCATAGGGCACATTGACAGCCTCGGCCGTCTGGATGGTTCTCTTCATCTGGCTGGTCCACACCTTCAGGTCGCTAATGCTCTGCGACTGGATGAACTGACTCAGCTTCTTTGCAAACTGCACAGAGGAAGTAAAATGTTTTTTTTATGAGGTCATCTAGTCAGAAAAAAGCAAGGTAGTCATTCTGCTGGGACCTCTTATATCGTAATGTTTGTGGTACCTCTTTGCCCCTCGGTGTGAGGCCGGAGTCTCCCCCGATTCGGCCCTTGACATTGAGCTCACTCTCTCCGTGGCGGCACAGGTAGATTGAGCGCGGCGTGATGTGGATGTTCATGAGGTAGTAGACGATCCGGCTCTGGATGTGGTCCAAAACTCTGTTGACCAAGTACCGCTGACCCACGTCCATGATTTTAATGTAGGAAAGATCCCTAAGAGGAGACAATAAATACATTGATGCTGTGTTTCTACTGCGTGTGTAAAAACATTATCCAACTGAACAGTTTAACGTTTTAGTGGAAAAATGTATCAGACACAAATTGCTTTTCAAGAGAGGCTTGTTAAAAATTACTCTCATCTGCAAACCAAAAAAACTAAACAAGTTTTTAACGAGACTGAAATGCACTGCGACATGAAGTGAAATAAACAGTCATTTTGAAACAATTTTCCTTCATCAATCATACAGCTGTGAGCAAGTTTTTTTGTAACATAGTTTTTCATAATTAGTGACAAAAGCATAGTGCTAATTACATTTGTCACTTAACACCAAATTACTGCTAATTCATTCAGGTTTAAGCACCAGAATGTTCTTCTGAGCTGGTTATGCTCATTTTGTTGCACAGCTGGGACATCATATCTAACAGAACCTCCACACCAGCTTCCACCTCACCTGTCCAGAACTTCATCCAGCGTCTCGTAGGAGTTTTCATAACACTTGATCCTCTTCATGAAGTCTTCCACTGCTTCCTCTGTGTTACAGTTCGTGTAGTCGGGGCTGCCGAGCTTCACTTGCTAAAGACAGCAACAGCGGAGGCGTTAGCGCAACACGGCCAGAGGTTAATTTCTTATTGAGTAAACCAATCAGAACAACAGAGTCACTCACCACTATGTTCTCCTGTATGACATCTGGGTCTTCACACACAGACTCCACAAAAAACACCTGAGAGAAGACGGAAGCATTACAGACTCATTATGGCTGTCAACAAGAGCAGTGTCCTCACTTGGAACTGTGACCCGGCAAGTTACCTTAAAGCCATTCTGCTCTGCGAACTGGACGATGGTTCCCCTTCTTTCTCTGGTGGTGTTTGTTGCATCGAACACCTGTACAACACACGTAGAGAAAAACAACAGACACGCCTTTTAGCACTGTACACTGTATTTAAAAAGGCATAAATCATCTCTGCCAACATACAATTTAACATTTGACCCACCGCAACTTGGCCTCCTTCCTCTGTGAGGTACTGTCGTACATCATTCAAGGCTGCTGAAGCACACTGTCTGTAAAGATCACAGATACGCCCAACCCTAATTACCACTTGTTGGTGATTAAATAAATTATTAAGATAGTCTGATGCCAGAGGCCACTCTTACCTTCTGATCTTTAAGCCTTCTTCATTGTCCGGACGGAAGAATTCAAAGGACTTGTAGATCTTCACAAAGTCTCTTCTGTACTGTCCGACATTGAATTCTGTGGAAAACAGCGGAGGCAAAAACCCCTGACATCAACTTTCTTTGACCAACTTTAAATTTGCACACACCATCATGAATTCCCTCAGCTTCCTTAAACTGATGTTTCTACAGCTGCATTTTCTCCCACTAAAGTTTGTGAGACTCTGTTCATTGCAAGTGTAAATCCAAAGAAGCGGTACCTCTGGTGGGCACTCCGATCCAGTTGAGATAGCGGGTCAGCTTCTTGGAGATGTAGGTCTTTCCTCTGGCAGGGAGGCCCACAGTCACAATCAGGGTGGGACAGTTGGTCATACATACTGCAGCAAAAGAGGGACAAGACACCATCAGTCACATGCTGATCACGCATACAAAATTGATTTATTTGTGAAGTTTGGAATTGCTCAGTTAAGCATATTAGTTTATCTGAAGGTTCTGTTCAATAGCTGTCTGCACGAATACAGCCTTACATAACACAAAGATATAAAGATTTAATATTAACTCCTAGGAGTTCTTATCAGACATGATTTCATTACAGTCCTGTGCAATCTGTCATAAAGACAGGGTCACATCACGCCACCATCACAATGTCGAAGCGTGGCAGAGAAAAAGAGTTCACGGTGGTCTGGGGTGTTGTGAAACGCTGCACTTTTTGTCCTCAAGACATCTGGAGAAAGCAAGCAGCCTGTTTCCACACCGAGCCGCTGTGTCCACAGATGACTGGGTCAGGGAGCACGACAAGCTTTCATGGGTGCCGGTTCAGAGCATTATGCAGTCATTTTCACACGCTACCTCCCTGAAACGCGAATATTACTATTGTTATTACTGTGCAGCCAAGTGTGCCACTCCACCCAAACACATGGCATTATTAAACTCTATTGATTGAACAAAAAAAAAAAATCCCTCTCAGTCAGGCTACAGTGAGGAGCCACTGACTATACAGCTGATTAAATGCAGCAGCAGATCACTCACATGACTGCAGGGATACAATTCCTGTTTACCAACAACTGGAGCTCGACTTGGCACAAAGTGACAATGAGATGCACATCCCTGGTGCCAGTCCTTTCTCCTCGATGCGAGCTGCCTTGGTGGCAATCATGTGAATCCTTACATAACCGTGTGAAGCAGATGGCAGCAGCAGCGGCGGCGGCAGTAAGACACGAGAACCCGGTGAACTGTGGCGGCGGCGCTGGTGGCCGTGGTAACGTTAGCTAGGACACCGCATCATAACAGGAGGTGGTTATTACGGCTACACGGTGACACCAAAAACAGCAACAACAACAAGAAAAATTAAAATATCTGCTGAACCAACCGCTAAACAAGGATGCCAGTAACCTGTCGCCACGTCGTCGTCATACGCACCCTTCCTCTGAGAAATGTGTTTTTCGGGAAGGCCATTTTTACACGGCACCCAGATCTTCTTCAGGGGGTTCTGGGTGAGTTCCCGCGGATTTGACGGCGCTTTGTCCTCCATTCCGTCTTGCGGCGAGGCGGAGGCGGCCGCAGCGGGAACGCGGGGCCTTTTCCCGTGATGCTGCTCCGGATGTGACCGGTGTTTCATCGGCTCTGCGGGGATGGAGACGCTCCGGTGCCGCTGCTTGCTCGCGCTCCCTCTGTGTGTCGCCGTCACGTGCCCTCTGCTCGGTCCGCACCGCCGGAGCCAACGGGCAGCCGTAATAACCGCAGCAAGGCGCAACGCGTATTCGGCTTTACCGTAAACTACCTTGCAAGTGCGCATCCACAGAACAACAGCTGGACACAACAGAGCGTCGTGTGATTTGACTTTACACAACAGCAGCAGGTATGGTGATAATGCTAGATTTATTAAAATGTTCATAATTGCTGAAGTTGAGCTACTTTGATTGACTTTTTTTTTTTTTAAAACAGCAGACACGTGGACATGTCACAGTAGGAACAGCTGCATGGAAACAGCTGCATCAGAATCAGAAAGTGGGGAAATTGCTTAGGTTACAGCTGCTCCCATTTAAAGACTTGGAAATTTAAGCAGCACAAAAAAACAAATAGAAAAATATGCCTTAAAAATATAACCACAAGTAGAAAACGTATGCATAAAATGTAATGTTCCCACGTCTACCTCAGTGACCCTGCTTCTTTGCAGACATATTGTAAAAACTTGTAAAATACTGCTATTTATTACTTACTCTTATTATATTGTTCTACTTTATTTATTTTATTTCTTATACAAAAACCTGAGATTCACCAGAGTCAAATTCCTTGTTTGTGTGTACAAACTTGGCCGATAAAGTTGATTCTGATGTAAAATGTGCATTGTTCTGAGAAAAATAAAAATAAAGTGTACAGTGTAATAAATAGTCATGGGGTCATAGTTGTGTTATTGCACAGAGACGTAGTTATTGCACATGACTGAGTGTTACCTCAATAAGTGAAGTGAAAAATTAGTGAACTGCTTCCATTGAAAAATAATGAGTCCAGAGTCTAAATATTCACTCTGACAGGCTGTGTGAACAACAAAATCTAACTCTGTTCTCATACAGCTCTTTATGTGCAACGACATCACGTTAACACTAGTCTTTTCTCCATGTAACGTTTTTCACTGCAATTGCAGAAATGTTGGGTACACTATCCATTATAACATATCTATACATGTCCATATTGTAATAGTAACTTTAGTGCTCAGGTAAATTCAGTATTCCCTAACAGCTGTTGAACACACCACCACAGATTCTGGTTGACTCCTCCCATGGCCCCGCCCCTGATTGTTTTTTTTTTTTTTTTTTTTTTTTAAACTACCTGTGGCATCATGGCTGCTGTCTGTCTCTGCTTCCTGGTTGGCACATGGGCTCCTCCCTGTGACTGAGGTAGGTGATGCAGTCAGGATTGTTTAAAGGTTGCTGGCAGTTTTACAAGTCTTGCTCACACATATGCGCATAGTGATGAAAGTGCATTTGTTTACCAGTCTTCTGTTTGCTTAATCTTACTGGTGTCTGTTTAGCTGAAGTTTTTGAAGCCAAAGGGTTGTCTGTCTTTGCATCATGTGGATGCTGCTGTAGCAATAACTGTGATTATCCCTGTTTAGTGGAGCTGGCTGTGACTGGCGGTGGTTAGATGCTCATGAATTGTTGTGAGCTCATGATTAGTTGGTAACTTGTGACACTCCAGGAACACTGTTATGTCATTGGCTACCTTCCTGGTTTCCGTCAAATTTTCCCTTCCTTTGCAAATTTTAATGTGCTGGAAGCGTTTCTTTTTAAAAGAATTGCATTAGTAAACACAATTTAATAACTCTAATTAGACTACACTCTGGGCACACATGCCAGATATTCAGTATTCAATCAGTTATTCAATAAATTTACTTTCTTCTGATTTGAACCACAATAAACTTGTGTGACCTGTGTATGACCAAGGTGGTGGTCCAGGTTCCTGGGTTGTGTCTCCCCAGGTGGTGTTATCAGGTTTGCTAGATTCTGTTAAAACTCCACCCAGCTCCCTTTCCTCCTTTCTCCTTATTCTGCCCTAATATGTAAATTTGCATATTCATAGATCAGATCCCCACCTACCACATGTAAATTCATCATGCCTTGTCTTTATTATATCTATATTTGTAGCCTTATTGTACTTTTATAATTCTTGTCCTGCTTTTTTCATGCCTCATCTGTATCCAGCTGCAGTATTTTATCCCCTTACAGCGTTGTCCAGTGTTGGCAAAATAGTTCCTCATGTGGCTGCATTGAATCAACGTTTGTGTTGATCTGGAGTTGTGCTTTTGTCTGATTAATGTACATTTCACTTGGCTGCAAAATGCTCCACTGTTTTCTATAAGCAATTCTCTTATGTACCGTTCATTAAAAAAAATATTAACTACGACAGCCTACGGGTTGAAAGATCAGTAAAAAAAAAAAAAAAAAAAAGTTGCCAAATATGAATTCTGCACCATAATACATGCAACAAAAACAACGAAAAGGTTAATCAAACACATGCCTACTGATACGAGACTCCACAGCATGCGTTAGCACATCAAACTATGATTTTGGTCTTTCAAGTGCACCCAGTGGATTACTGATTAGGAAACTGTGTTGTTTCAGGGTCAAGTATGTGAAAGTTGTGAGTTCTCCTTTTCTTTAAATGTTATATAAAACCCTGTCAGGTGTGAATTGTTAAAGAGCAACCAAGAAACTAACCTACTGATTTAAAGGCCCTGTATGCACCCTCACAGATGTTCCCTCAATGCTGTGTGAGGCTGTAAACATTGTGTGAAAATAACATGATTCTTTAGGTTTCACTGGGTTTAGTCACCTCACACATTCCACCCAGCTTCCGTTTCAATAGAGGTCAACCCAGGATGAATCACTCAACACCAGTGTGTTTGTGCCGAGTCTTTAGGAAACCACACTGCTCAAAATACTGCGTAATGTTTGATGTTATCTTGGCTAAGTGGTTGCTGTAATTACTGCTTAAGGCCTGATGTGCTCGTCTAAGTTGGCCTGATTCACGGGAATGTGTTTGCAAAACGTGAAATCTAAGTTAATTGCACAAAATGATGCTGTTTTATGTGAAGACAGTGGATACAAACACAGCGGCTGCTCTCGGTAATGAGGTAAACTGTTTATTTTTTTATTTTTTTAGCTCTTTTGCTGATTTGAAAATAACCTAACAAGCCTTTCAACAGCAGAAGGGAAAGGCAGGAGTGGATATAATAACATGAATGATGACTTAAGACAGTTTAGCTGCCTTCTGTTGATCATGCTCACAGTTGCAAGACTGAAACCTTTGTTGATGTTATCAGCGACATCTATGGTTTTCCTGCAATGATCAGTCAAACCAGGGTGAGTCTGTTAAGATATGAACTCCCCTGAACACATGACAAATACGTGTTTTACACCCTGTGATGCATTTCTGTTCGGTATTTTCACTGTCATGTGTAAAAATTAGGCTGTTCCTGATGTATGAGGGTAATTTATCACTAAATATTGGGGAAAAAAAGACAGCTGTGGTTATTATTTAATCAGTTTTCTTACTTCTATAGTGCATATTCATGTCATGTTTGTAGTTTCTGAATATTGTTCACACACTGAGACAAACTATCTGCTGTAAAAATAGTCATTAAGTTTAATTGTTTTTCTGGTTCTGGTTCAGGGTAACACCAACAACAAGCACTTTATATGGTGGTTTTTAAATGCTACCAGACTTTAACTCTTCCTCTTCACACATTGTCCATGAGATGGCAGCATTACCCTCTCACTGTGCGCCTGAACAGGCTCCTGAGCTTTCAACATAATAGACACTAAAAATTTAACTCATCAGGCCTTCAATAAATCACAAATTTTCTGTAGACATGCTCATAATCACTCTGTTGTTAGTACGGTGTCGATTTTTTTTAAAGAGGTGTTTATAATAATCTGTCCGCCTCAGCTGAGCAGGACACCCTCCAGTATAACAAACAGAGATGAATTCACACTAACACTGTGTCAACCCAACAGTAGAACCTTTACAAACTTGTGCAAAGCTGTCGTACTAGGCTTATGTGAAAGTGCGCAGGTGGACCCAGTATGGAAAGTCGGTGCACGTTTTCAGGTTAGTAGGCCTATCTGTTCATCTGTTTGTGTTTTACGCGGTGTACTGATTATATTAAGCTTAGAGACAGTCTTGGTGGCGGAGCAACAGGGTCTGTGACCTAAATATGACGAGATGGAGGGTTTCTAATTAAATAGCTCCTGCACTCTCTCTCTCTCTCTCTCTGTCAAATTCCCTGACTGCTCGTAGACTGTAATATATGTCAGGTTCATCAGGTCCACAAAGAAATGGCACAGTAACTCGTGCTAAGAATACATTTTTAGATTTTCAGCTGGTCAAAGTAAACATGCTGTAGTGTAGAGTTGTGATTGTTGCACACAGACTGAGGCACACCCGCTGGATACAAGCTGGTTAGGCAATGTTTATTATAGGATGGGCTATTGAAAGAATCTGAAGAGCCTGTACAGCCTGTGTGAGTGTACTAACAGAAAGCCCATCATATCTGGTTTGTAATAGTAAAAAAATTACCTTTTAAGAGTGTAGTTCAGGCCAGTTTTGAGGTCCTTTATTTGAGTATTTTCACTTTTTTTGCCACTTCCTCCTTCCACTCCACAACATTTTGGAGGGAAATATTGTACCCTTTACTCCACTACTGTTATCTGACGGCTTTTGCTGCTTTTAAGATGAAGATTAAACACAGTGGATAAGATATCAAGCTTTTAGAAAACACCGTACTGTTGTAGTGCAACTAGTTTCAACAGTAACATGCTGCTGTCACACTGACGCTTCACTTTTAATAATGTAATCTCAAATACATCCGTCACAAGAACAAAGCCAGTGCTTTTACTTTAATACTTTAACTACATGTTGCTGCTTATGTAGCCTACTTTTACTTAAGTAGCTTTTGACATGCAGGCCTTTAACTTGTGATGGGACATTTTTAAATTAGATCGGAAAATTAGATCATTAGGATTTTTGACACTGATTGAAAGAGCAGAGACGTAATAACAGCAAACTGAATGCAAATCTCTTGTTTTAAAAATGCAACTTCACTGCACAAATGTGCACAGTGTCATTTCAGATGTCTGAGTCGTTAACATCTCCACCATATAAGAATTTC